GTGAGACCTTTTCAAATGTTCATTTCTGCCACTTTTCCTCAGTTTAAAAATAAATGGAAATCCCTGATTTGTTGGATTAAAAGTGGATTAAACCCACGATCAGCGTTCTTCATGGACTGTCTCTTCTGGGAGGGTTTGGAGATGACTTTGATCATCCGGCTCTGGAACGAACCCACTTCCTGTCTGTTGTTCAAGAAGAGGCGCAGCAGCAAGCAGAAATGCTTCCTCTTGTCCTGATCAGAGATAAACAGCGTCTTGGCGCAAGCGAACATCTGCTGACGAGACACACAGACAGCATGAGTGTGAGACTTATTACACTTCACATAATCAGACGCAGAAGAGGAAAACTCTTCAGGAATGTTGTTTTTCATAAATAACTTTAATTGAAATAAACTTTTTCTGGTTATTTTGTTTCTGCTTTTCTCAGCATTTAACGCTCGGCTGAAGGGTCGTACAGTAATAAGGACAAAGCACGTCTGTTTCTCCATCAGTCAGTAAATAAGCGAAAGGCCGGCGCACGGGCAGCGTGTTTGCAGTTTTTCTGTCAGACGTGACTGTTTGTTGAGTCAACAATGGCCTGAAATAAAAAGCTTAATGCTCGTGGCCGAGTAAACACACGCAGAGCTCAAACACAACAGTTCATACATCATCAGTCACTTATCTGCTCACTTTCAGACAACCAGCCTGAATGAAACTTATTCTAAGGACTGTTTTTACTCTTGTCACAGTAAATATACATGTCATGTATCATATGTCGTAAAAAAAATTGTAGACTTTGCCTTTAATATGAGGTAGTTACAAAAAACCCCACAAAGCAAAACAACAGTATACGACGTGCACAGCTCGCAGTGAAAACACTGGTCGGTTGTTTAACGAGTGTAACAAACGATGTTTATGACAGCGACGTTAATAACTGTGTGTAAAACCGCAGAACTCTCAACAAAGCCGAGGTTTCATCACTGCTGCTTCTTTTCAGCCAAACCAACGTGGTGACAAAGAAACTTCAGATGTGTGCTTATGGTTGTGAAAGGACCCATTTTAAATCAGTTCGTGACTATTTTCCTTCCTAAAACTGTACAGAGTAGTTTTGGTGCCTAAAACGAACCAAACAGTCGCTGAAAACACGAAAAAGATGAAATAAAAGAAAGAATTTCTGAAACACATCAGACAACAACAACAGCTCCCTGTGTTATGTGTTTGATCCTGACCTCCACTCTGTATCTTGTGGCAGATGAAAACTTAAAGTGTTGTGTTTCTGATTTCTGCTTGTGCTGGTCACTAATCATGTCTGGCAGTTTTTTATGCACTTCACCTGTTTGGTGAGGCACTCTGGATATTTGGGGCTAAACGTCACATATTCCTGTGTGCGGATTATAGAAATGAGAACCAGAAGTGCAGAATGCAGGAAGCAGATTTCATTTAAAAAGTAAACGGCCTGTATTTGTACAGCGCTTTACTCGTCCCTAAGGACCCCAAAGCGCTTTACACAACCAGTCATCCACCCATTCACACACACATTCACACACTGGTGATGGCAGCTACATTGTAGCCACAGCCGCCCTGGGGCGCACTGACAGAGGCGAGGCTGCCGGACACAGGCGCCACCGGGCCCTCTGACCACCACCAGTAGGCAACGAGTGAAGTGTCTTGCCCAAGGACACAACGACCGAGACTGTCCGAGCCGGGCTCGAACCGGCAACCTTCCGATTACAAGATGAACTGCCAGCTCTTGAGCCACGATCGCCCCGTTAAAAGTGAGTTTTTAGTGCTGATATTCAGCTCGATCCAAACTTAAAGAAACTCAGAATGTCGTTTGGCTTTCTGAGCGTTACAGATGATCACAGTGTTGCTCTGTGATGCTTTCACTCCAACACTCTTATTCCACTGAGGGGCAACCAAAGACACTCAGTGTACTTCTATTAAAAAAGGATTTTACATTAACTTGATGTGTGGAGCTGTCAGGTATATTCTGATTTTTTACTCTATTATCACGTTTTAGAGCCGTCATGTTACCAAACTTCACTTCCCAAAATCTAAATTTTAGTTAGATTTCACAGTAATGATCATTTGAGACATGTAAGACTGGAATGGTAACGGCAACAATTTTGGTCTAATTACTCTGTAACTTTGCATAATTAATTAAACTTTTGCATATGGGTATCACTGACTTTGTATTAATATTTCAGTTTAATCATCAGCATCATTATAGCATCTCTGATCAGTTATGTCTGAAAATAATAAATTAATAAATTCTGCAAATCTTCAGAAAACTGTTCAGGACAAAGACATGGATGGATGCAGATGGCTCGCTGGTGCCACCTCCGCCCCCATCAGTGAACACCTGGAGATGAATTGAGAGGATAACTAACGGGACAAGGGCGAGCGTAAATCTCAGAAAATTAGTGTCTGTGTCACAAAAGGAATTTTCTGACCGGGAACGACTGTCGACATAAACAGAGGTTTGCTCACGGCCACCAGAGAGCTCTCACCCTGGAGTTTGGCTGTTCATCGAACACCAGTTTGAATGCGTCTGCCTGTGACTGGCTGGAGCTGTCCAGGCACATGTAACCACACACTCGATACACAGAGTCGCCATAACCGGCCGCTGGATGGAAAAGACAATGAGAAGGAAAAACAGCAGTGAGCGGAAGAATGTAAGACATTATAAAATTCACTCAAATTTTAATGTAAAGCTGACTATAATCATCTTTATTTACCTTTTAAATGGTCCTGCGTGACTTTCCATCCATGGCCAGTGATGTAAACACAAGGAGGAGGGCAGAAGAACCTGGAGGTGATGCAGAAACAGTCACTGAAACAGCAGATTTTATCCAACTAAACCAGTTCACGTGCTCATGATTTCACTAATCTCTACATTAAGATTTTCTTCTTCTCTTCATTCATCTGTTAAAATCAGGTGAGTCTCTGTGTATTACAGGTATTACAAAACGTTTCTCTGCCTTAAACATCACGGGCAACAAACTCAGTCTCACTAATGGGAAATACTGTGAAATGTAAATCACATGATTGGACAAAATAAAGCTTTCTTTGATTTATTCAAATGCATGTCCTGCTCAACATAAAGCAAGTTTAATTAGAAGAAACTTGTTTGTTCACAACTCTAACTGTCGTGCATAATAATGGTTAAAGAAGGTGAACGTGCAGCCAGTTCACATCAGCCTTATTCAGCTGCATGAATATGACAGCTCAGGGCAGTTACAGGACACACAGGAGAACAAATTACATCATGAATAATAATCTTCAGAAGCATATTACAGGACAGAATATGACATTAGAAAATCAAATAACAAAGGACGTTTGATCATGCAAATTATCCTTAACACACAGCCGGGCTCTCATGAAACTGGCTGCACATAAAAAGCTGCAAATAAACTTTGCAGTTTCTCAAAAACTCAAAAGTATCTTCACCTTCCTCTACTTCAAGTCTTTAATCTCATCTTTAATTTTAGTTTTGTGTGCCAGTTGCTAGCTGTAGCTAGAGGTGAAATGACTGGTTTGTTATTAAGTTTCCACCAAATGTCAAATATGTTGCAGATTTCTTATTCATTTCCTGCTTTCTGTGACTTCATGTGTAAGTAAACAGCATTTCTTTGGGGTTTGCGTCCAAAAGAAATCATCTGTTGTTCTCGAGGAAATAATTTTATCACTGTTTTATGACACTTTGTGGATCTGTGTAGATATTAAAGTAACTGCCAAATAAACTTGGAAATCTGAGCCTGTCCCTCAGATCAGTCAGATTAATCTGTTTGTTAGAAAAAGATTTCTGTGTTGGGTTTAATAAAATGTGTTAATGCTGCAAGTTTATTTGTGTAATGTCTTGATGCATGCTGTCATCATTGATCAATGGTCATGACAATTTGCAGATTAATGATCATAAACTGACCTCACAGCTCATTGTTTATTCATGCGCCTGGTTTCAGTCATTGCAAATAAACCGTTTATAAAGTTGGGGAAACCTGCAGTCAGCTGAGACTGAAGAAGTCACCTGGATGAGTGACGAAACGTTTCTCCCACTAAAAACGTTACGCCCAGATGAACAGAATCAACTGTTTTTGGATTATTTGTGTAATCTATTTTATTTCTATAAAATCATCACCACACCTTTTCTCATTGCCGTAGGACTTCTGAGCGACCTTGGCGTGCAGGATGGTGACACTCTGGTCTGCGTGGGCTTCTCGTCCTAGATCTGCTGATGTTCCCAGTAACTGACAGCCTTGAAACCCTGAGTTCAGTCTCCTGATTGGATGACAAGGATGTTTGTCACAAAGAAACGCAAAAAACAACACATAGTGTGTTTGTGAGGAAAAGCCAAGATTCTGATGGTGCTCAACAGAAAAACTATGCATAAAAGTGTTGATGGAGGTGCAAATGTTTGTGCAAATTTTATGACATAAAATAACTCAGCAGTTGTTAGTTTATCTACAAGTGTGAACATCACTGTAGCACTTCAGGAAAAATCAGGGGTCACAAATATTCATAATACAGGAATGACCAGTGCTCCAAAACATCCTCCATCACCATCATCGTCTGACTTTAAATCAGGACCGTTTCTAAACTCTGTGTGATGTCTGCAGCATCTCAGCCCAGTTTGGTGTTTTTCACAGAAACTAAATGTGTGCAACGAGACTCCGTTTCAGGCAGACAGCTCACTGCCATCATAAACGAACACATGGACGTGGTTAAAGTGGTGAAAACCTGCTCGTTCCCTTAAAAAAACAAAGCTGAGTGACACATGAATGAAGCAGACTAGAGTTTTACCACCATGTTATCAAGAAACGAATCCCACTGTAGTTTGAATTACACTTTTTTTCATGTTCCCACAAAGTAGCTTAGACTAAGCACACAATTATCATCAGCAGACACTCCATCCATCTTTAGAAGAGACTCAACAGCAGCAGATATAAATACAGGCAAGCAAAAGATGGGATAACGGTGTTGTTAGAGACTCATTAAAACATGGAACAATTCTTTTTATAGCTGGAAAACAGTCGCCTGTTTCTACCAGCACAGAGAGAAAAGACAGGAGACGCAGTAATGTCACATTTTCACATATTTAAGTTTCAGATACAGACTCTGGACCAAACGAAAGCAAAAAAATCCTGTCTGATCAGAACTAGTTAACTTACAGGTTACTCGTACAAAAATAGCATGTTAATACACATATGCTGATGCATATACATGCAGTTTATTATTCAATACATGCTACTTTATATGCAGTTTAGATTTACAGTTTAGATCTATGGTTGCTTTTCTTCGGAGTGGCTGTAGCTCAGGTGGCAGAGCAGGTCAGCCACTAATCAGAAGGTCGGTGGTTCGATCCCAGGCTGCATCCTGGCTGCATGCCAAATATCCTTGGGCAAGATACTAACCCCGTGTTTGCCTACTGGTGGTGGTCAGAGGGCCCGGTGGCGCCAGTGTCCGGCAGCCTCGCCTCTGTCAGTGCGCCCCAGGGCAGCTGTGGCTACAATGTAGCTTGCTATCGTGAATGTGTGTGTGAATGACTGAATGTAGTGTGAAGCGCTTTGGGGTCCTATGGACTAGAAAAGCGCTATACAAATGCAGACCATTTACCTTTACCACTTGACTTCTGCATTCATGCTTATTTCATTTCTTCTTCTGGCCTCTGGTTTTTTCTTGCTTCATTTTGTTCCACAGAGCATCTTTGCTCATGTCTGGATCCATATTTTTCATTTTTTAGTAGATTTACATGTTCACAGATCAAAACAGTCAAAAGGATAAAACTTTTAGAGCAGGGTGGACTCCTTGTACATACCATGACCTCACTATTCAAAACTTGGGCCATGTTTAATATGAACACACACCAATGGATGTGTATGCATGTTTGTTTTTTCTTGCAAATAAAGAGAAACATTATTCAAATATAGGCAGAACTTAAAAGCTATTGTTTAATCACATTATTTGTTTCATGTACTGTTCATTTTCTCCTCTGATTGACATTTAATTTAAAGAAAAAACCCTCAAAGTCTTATTTCCAGTCATTAAATTTTAGATATTTCATGTTTTGACAGCAGGTAAGTGAACAGCAGGTAAGTGAACAGCAGGTAAGTGAACAGCAGGTAAGTGAACAGCAGGTAAGTGAACAGCAGGTAAGCCACTGCCAGAACAAAACTAGACTAAGTGGACAAAAGATTCCTGAAGCACAAATACAGACTTGGGTTTTCTGAATGAACATTTAGTATTTGATATTATGTTTCCACTTGCTGGGTCTTTTGTAATTACAAGACAACAAAGCAGTGCTTTAATCAAATAAAGGCTTTACACTTAGATTTTAATGCTTTTATTAGTCCCACAATTTCCCCTTGTGGGACTAATAAAAGGTATCTTATCTTATCTTTTTCTATTCATTTAATCCTGAGTTTGAGCAGGTTATTTACAACCTTTTTACTTTGTAAAGTGTTCATTACTTCTGTTAACGCGGCCTCCTTCTGTGTGATTAGATTTTAAATGCTGAGCTGAACAGCAGGCAAAAGGCTGAAAGAACAAGCTGACTGACCCCGTGTTGCTCTGCTAACAATAGCGCCTGTCACATTAGCTGTGTTTTCTCCCCGCTGTAGCGATGTAATGAGGAGCCAGACACAGAGTTACGACCCCGGGGCCTGGAGTCTGGAATGCTACTCCTAATGAAGACTATCGACACGAGAGGAGGAGAGGAGGAGAGGAGGAGAGGAGGAGAGGAGGAGAGGAGGAAGGCAAGGGAATAAGGAAGGACTCAAAAGACAGCTGAATTATGTAAGTGGTTAAAAATCAACCTGCTGCGGTTTCCTGTGGCAGCCACCAAGTTCTCACACAAATTTAAGGTAACAGCAAATACTTTCCATTCACAACTATTACCTGGATATTAAGATATTAACAAAGTGGAGAAACTGAAAGTGACTAAAGTCCCAAACAGAGATGGCACAGTGGATGTTTGAGCTTCACATGCAGACTTTGGACTCTTCAGTACAGAAACACGACTTCAAGCTTTAAGTAGAAAGAAATTCATGTTTGAACAACTCATAAGAAATATTTTCCAATCCTATTATGGCAAACAACAAACTTTAACTCAGTTCTATTACAATAACTCTAACATCACGAAAAATGAAAATAAAAATCATGTATCACTTCTCTTTCTTATGGTTTATATTATTTTTGAAGCCCTTAAACTGTTACTGAGCACAGAAAGCATTTAGCAAATATATTATTTGTGCCCTTAGAAAAGTCACCAAGGTTACAAGTCCTTCTATAATCTCGACCCTGATGATGACACATGTATTCAGACCAGCTGGTCTCCATAAGGGCGAGCGCCTGCTTGGCCAGCTGTACTGAACATCAGATCCTACTAACGCCTCTCTCCACGGGTCAGGGTTCAGACTTGAATGGCTGTGTGTGTCTTCACCAGCTTGTAGTTTAAATTAGACCTTCACATTTTCACAGGTCAAAGGGCAGGCGTCAGGAGCGCAGGGCTCCTGGTATTTCACACCAGGAACACAGAATGAACTGAAGAAGGACGGGGGGAGGGGTGGACAGAAATACACTTGCATCTACATCTTCTGGTCCAGATGTTGTTCTAGCACACAAGTATTTGAAAGTTTATAATCACTACAATTACTGGGTTTGTTAGTATGATGAACTCAACAGGTGTCTGGGCCCTAAAATCCACAAGTGGAAGAAACGTTTTTTAAATTAGAAGTTTTACAACCTTCAGAGAATTTAGATCCAAGCTGGTGAGGAGCAGGAGGCTGATTAAGAATAAAGTGTATTTCTCGACTGGTTGTGAGTGGCTGCTGGAGTTTCGAGCTTGCAGCTATTGTTTGGTGAAACTGGTCACATAGAAAGGACTGCACCTAAACCCTCTATGTGTGGGTTCGAGCAGATTGCCCAGGTCAGTTGTAGTTTGCATGGAAGTGTCGACTTGTCTGCAAAAACTCAATATTTACACTGTGGGCTGCAGTAAAACCTAAAAAAGTGGGACGCAAACTGAAAACAGAAAACATTTACCTTTAAAATACAAGCTGAACCTTACTGACATGTTTACTTTGAAGGCAAACAGTGTTTGCAGACAAGTTGGGGTCTTCCATGCAAACCACCAGGAGGTTTTTGGTACATCATGTGAAACCTCTTTGTGACCAGTTTTATTCTAGAAACTGCCAGCAACCTCCTACAACCACATACCAACTGGTTGCAGAATGCATGGTTTCCTAGCAACTGGTGATTACCAGGTTGGTCTCTGATCGATCTCTAGGTCTGCATGGGGCTTGCCAGAAACCTTCAGTAACCACCTGCAACTGTTTGGGATAATACTCGTTTTTCCCTTATGACCAGTGGCTGCCAGATGGTCGCCTGTGTGACTGGGGCCTTTCTGAACTACTGGGAATTGTTGGTTGCTGTAGTTTGGACACCAGTGTGTGATTTGTGGGCTGACTGGTCCAGGATACGATTATGGGATAAGATGTTGCTTCAACCAAAACAGAAGTGTAGCTCCAAGCCATAGACAGTATATAAAAGATGGCTGTAGCTTTTAAGTCTGAAGCGTGACAGTGACGTGGAAATACCCTATAAAGCAGCTTTCTTTCTGATGACCAGCAGGGGGCGACCATTCTGTTTGCAAAATAAAGTCCAGCTGTATAGGGGTTTATGTAGAAATGCTTCCTGCAACTCCCAAATAAAAAATGAGAATGAAGCAGAATATGCTTCAGGAAAGACCTCAGCACATCTGGGTTCACAAAACCAAGATAGCAACAGCTTAAATGCACAGCTTTAAAACTGGACCTCAGTAACTAAGCTGCCATGCCAAGTTGGATACATCCATCTTTTATATACAGTCTATGCTCCAGTCTTTTTCAAACTACATTTAAGTTTTCATAGCTAAAAGCCAGAAAGACAGTAACACCCAATCAGATTATATTTTCAGGTCACATGACTTATTCAAAAAAGCAAATATCCTATCACGTGCAGGATTTTAACATAAATATCATAATTCAAACTGTTTTGGTTCGTCTGACATGAACAGTTCCTGCCACATGGGACTCGTTTTCTTTGGCCTCAAAACTGTTAATGTAATCACATTACTTTAGTAATGACATTAGAGTGAGAAAGCTGAACATTAGAGAGTCACTGATCAGTCACAAATTATCTGTAAAACACTTGATGAACTTTAGGAAGCAGAAACATTTGTGCGCTCGCGCGCCGTAGCAGGTCTCACCTCTCCAAACTTCTCCGCGCGCTCAACATTGTTCGGATTTCAAAGGCCGGGGGGCGGGGTCTCTACCTCCCCAAATACTTCTTGGCACTTTTATACCTCCTCACCATCACTGCACCACTTCATTCCAACAGTGAGTAAACCAAGCGAAGGTCAGCGCGGCAGAAACACGAAGCTGACCTGAAACTTTTTCACGTCCACGCGCTCATTCCTCACCTCCTCTCCGAGACTTTGGGATAAACTCCAGCAAACCGTGACCTCACCTTTCCCGACCCGGGACACCCTGCGTGCGTGTGTTTCGGGACTTTTGTCGCAGAGGTCTGAGCACCCGGCTGGTTCTCCGTCTTACCTGTCCCATCCACCCGTCCGTGCTGCATCGTGTCCGGACGGCAGCGTCCCCAGGTGAGTCAGCGGGCTGATTGGGTCCGGGGACAGGGGAGGGGGGTATAACAGAGCGGTGTCTGCCTCGGGGAAGCCAGGTCGGTGCAGCAGTGTTTCTGAGAGGAAACGAAGTGTTAGATTGATTTCACAGTGAAACTGTTCAAAGCAGAGATTAACACGATGAGTCAGATCACAGTGTCGCATCATTTAAACTTCATTTAACCAAGTGAAATAGGAGATGTGTGCAGGACAATGCGGTGCTTTGCAGCCTGCTTCAGGAGCAAAGGTATGCCCAAAGCAGAAATCATCGAGTTCATGGTGTGATATGGTCACATGTGATATGTGTGCATGAAAGTTTTAACTGAACTGTCTTAATTTAATATCTGATTAATAATTTTAACCAGTTTTCAAGTAATCCAGTCAAACAGACTGGACTTTAAAATGCAACAGTTCGCTGTTTTTCTTGATTAAAGTAAAAATCTTTAAATTTTAAACTAAAAAAATGGGCTCAGCTTCTGGGAGGAAAATAAAACTCAAAACTGAGTTATTCTGTGGCATTCAGAGAAAACAGTTAAGTTATTATTCACTGAAATGATCTGTGGATAAATTGTTAATGAAAATAATTGTTAGTCAAATGCCAACACAAGCAGTTTGTGACTTCAAAAAGAGTTTCCAAGGAGGCTTTCAAAATTTAAGGAGAAGCCTCTGAAAGTTGGATGTTGGATAAGGTCCAGTTTGGCTCAGATGAACTCAAAGACACCATTGATCTTTGGAAAAGTATTGATCATGATAATAATGCACTAATAAAGACAAGTTCTCACTGATGTTATTATGATTTTTGTACGGTTTTAGCTGCAGTAAGTGTTTACATTGAAGTGAAACAAATGATGAGTCAGTGAAATGAAGTGGAAAGATAATTAGAGGGAAAGAGGCTTTGGGTTCACACTGGTTGCCTGGAGGTGATGCTTCAGGCAGTCAAAGCCACCATTCAGGGAGAGTCTACTCGAGCACACAGACGGGTCAGGGCTCACGTGGTTAAGTCAACACAGTCAGTCAGAGAGAAGCTTAATCATACAGCCATACAGGCAGGTGGACAGACTGGAGGTGACAGAGTCATGATACAGGCGCATGATCAGCAATGCCGTGTCTCTGGGAAACTTTAAACGGGTCAGCAGTGCAGGCGTGACTAAAGAGGGGCTCCTGGGCTATCAATGCAGCCATGGGTACAAATTACTGGGTACAAGGGGTCCACACCTCCTTTTTCTAGGGGAAAAAAGTGTGTGTCATTATGAATAATAATGCAGTGCTCAGTCTGGAACTCATTCAGCCAATAATTGCATGAATAGCTGCAGTTTTTCTTTATTTTTTCTTTTGCCTTTTGCATTTTTGAGAACTACTCAAGTGAATCAAAACAGAAATGCAATGAACTACAAATATATCCAGATATGTTTGTGAAAGAGTGGTAAAACGTTGGTAGTTGACTTTATTTGTTGTCTCAACGGTATTATTCCCTGCATGCGATGCATTTAGAGGACACATACCCTGACAGGCTCTGTACTCCTAATAATCCTGCTGATGATAATCTACCCACCTGAGCCGCAGTCAGGTCTTTATATAACCGGGCTCAGGTCTGTTTATGTTCGCGGGCAGATGATAATAAAAGGCGGTGGAGGAAGTCGGGGTGTAATTCAAAGACAGGCAGGTAATGAAACTGCTCACAGTAGCAGACTTAACATCTGGTTCTAATCTAAATCTAACAACAAGAAGTGCTGTGTTCATCTCAATATGGTCTCCAGCTGCCACTCAAACCCTAAACCGCCTACAGAACAACCGCAGCCTCTCCGCCCGTCTCCCTGTATACATCCAAACTGCTCTCTCTGATCTCCAGCTTTTCTACATCCTTTCTTTCCCCGCACGCTCACTCTGGCTCTCTTTATGTTACACAAACATATGACCTCCGTCTCTGTCCGGCTTTCTAATCTCTGAAGCTCAGAGCTGATGTGTTTTCCTCTCAGTGTGAGTCCAGCCTGTCAGTCAAACTTCTGTCCTTTCTGTTTTTCCACATCTTGCTCTTTCACCTGCTGTTTTAATCTCAGTGCCTTCCTCTTAACATTGCATATGTTCAGTCATATTCACACTGACAGAACATAAAGTCAGTAGAAAACACTGCCATCCATTGATCTGTCTAAAAAGCAGACCTTTAATGAAAGTCTGTGTAGCAGGAATGTTTTTTACACCCTTTATTTGTTTACTGATTCGCCTCCTCAGATTTATCAAGTTTGTTTTTGTTCCCGTTCTATAAAATATTGCAGTTTTTTCCAAGCTGCTGGTGTGTGTTATATACCAGATGTCTTTGGCAGCTTTACACAACGCCGATAGAGAGACGAGGCTGTTTTTTGATGTGTAGCATTACTGCTGTGAAAGGAAGCAGTTTAGCCCACAGAACAATGATAACCACAGTTTATTAACACAACCGTGGACATTTAAGTTTTATCGTACTGAATGATGCATGCCTAATTCCATATCTGTGCACAGGCCACAGCCTTGAGGCTTCCCTCATTTCTTTATTTTTTGTTTCCAAAGGAGATTATCTTGTTTTTTTCAAGTTATCTGCAGCAAAACAATGTTTTTGTTTGTTAAGCCACTTATCTCTAAATGTTTTTATCTATTTTTTATTTATAAAAGAAAACATAAAAATGTGTTTTTGTATTAACAAGTTGATTACCAAAGAGATATTAGCCAGCAACTTGATATATCTCATCATAGTGTGCAGTGTATGCCTAAAACAAAAACCTGTCTGCTTCAGATGAACAGTGTCTGAAGTCATGTCCTTAAGAAACAGGAAGAGAATCCAGCAAAGACCCAACAGAGAACCTGAGAAAAGCATCTGGATCTTTATTTGATCCATCTGCTATTCAAGCTTCAGCAGAAATGTTATCAGTGGAAAGGCGGCTGAAGCCAATCTGAAGGAAGTGTGCCAGACTATATCAGAACATCTGTTCATAAATCGCTGCACCTACTTCCAATGTTAATGAAATCGAGGTGACTCGAGGTTGTTGCACAGTGCTTTATAATCTGAGGTGTGTATTTGTGACAAGTCGGGAAACAATCTTACAAGTGACCCAATCAGATGTGGAGCCAGTATTTCACCATCATGATGTTTGACCTCAAATCCAGCTGTTTAAATAAGAAATATTTGTGCCTCCAGAAGATTCATTGTTCTCAATTGACAGATAAGGTAAAAATGACATTTTAATAATGTCTGCTCATAAACTGAAAGTAAAATTCAAATCAGTGCAAATTATTCTTCAGAGGAATAACTATCAGATACAGGGATCTATCAGGGCAGCTCAATTTTCTTTCTTTGAAAGTGTTTTCTGGCAGTTGAGCTTGACGTGTCAGGTACTTGTGGCATTTTTCAACAAGCAGGGTTACTGTTGAACTGCTACTCATTCATAGAGGTTTGACGGAGCTTGAATTTTAGAGTTAGTACAGTTTAGTAACAAGCAAAAAGAAACAGAGAATGAAAGGAGACACACAGCTTCCCTTAATAGTCACATTAACAAGAACCGATTCACTTTCACTGTGAGCGCTAACACTTCAAACCTGTAAATTTAGTCTTTCGTTAGACTTCTGATAAACTGAGACTCAGAAACTTTCTAAATGGATGTCTGAAAGGTAAGATTATCTGTCACCATTTTAACCTCAGGGTCATGACCCCAGGGGGGCGGTGCGGCATCATTATCAGAGGCCGACGTGGACGAGGGTAAATAAGATGTTTTCACATGTCAGGCATTCGTTTATAACAGCTCCACTCAGTTCATGTCACCATTGACTGGTCTTTCGAAACTTCACTTATCAAACTGAACCCTAGTTTCCAGATGTTAAGGTTAATTAAGAGCTGTTATTCTGATTGCTGTGCATTTTATTCATGCAGCTTGCTAACTAGCCTTGCTGGCTTTACCTAGTAGGTTAGTACTTGACCTTCTTGTTTAAATAACAGTGAGAATGTCGGGCTCCCAACATTAAACAGGACAACAACCAACATGCAAACATTAAGGCTTCAAAGAGGAACTCAAAAAACAATGGGTGAAGTGACGGTGGCTTCATCTTTCATATACAGTCTATGCTCGAGTCACACTCGGTGTGGAGGACATGTTCAGCTCAGGTCGAGGTACGTACCCTCTTTATTCTATCACTGTTCAGTTACAGTAGCCAATGTCACGATACGTAGAACACAACTGCATTTTGTTTGTTACATTTTCCTAATATTTCACACTCAACAGAACTACAGAAGTATTCACGCTGTATTCAGGTTTGGCCAGCAGAGGGAGCTGCAGCCACCATAGCACCACCACAAAAGTGCTTTCCAATAAGTTAGTTTTATTTATTTATAGGATTACAAAACAATACCACTAACCTTTCCTGCCATCTTCCCCGACATCCAGTTCATCCATGATGGGCGTGGCCTCTGCTGAATTTAGGATGGGGTGTTCCTCGGGTCCATGGTCACTCTGCTTTTTTAGAAAAAGTTCAGGTTTAACAGAGAAATGTAAGTGACGTAGACCAACAAATGCACACCTAGCAGATAGTCTTAAGGGGGAATAGAACAATGACTTCACTGTCCAGTACTGAGTCCAAGAGCTGTGTAATTCTTTTCAGGCAGCTGTTGACTAAACATTAGGTTGGCTTTGTCTTGCAGTGTGATGGTCCACTGAAATCAGATGTTTTTCTGCTGCTGGGTTCACTATCTGTGTAAAAGCCTCAGAAATGCTGATGGGCGACAACATACGTGGCTTCGAAGAACTTACAGGGTGAAGAACAAACCATGAGAACTTCAGCATCGGCTAAAAAACAGCACGTAATAACATCACGTTATGGTCTTACTGTTAGCTGACCTGAAGTCAGACTGTTGTCCTGCAGCTTTCTGGTTTAGATGCTCCTGTTGTTGTTTGTGTTCTGGCCTAAAGTCAGAAAAAAATCTGGTCTATACATTCAGTTTCTGCCCATCACGACTGCAGCGTAGTTAAAATGTCCAGCAATCAGTCCAATGATCAGTCAGCACAGAGCAGAGCTTCCACTACACCTTACAGTCACGCTACAGTAAGAGGGGCTCTGGTGTATCTGCGCGTGTTCATGTTTGCACTTCATCCCGGACCTGTTATCAGGCCATGTGTGTGTGTGTGTGTGTGTGTGTGTGTGTGGATAAGGAGATAATCACCTGTTACCAAACTGCAGATTTCTCATACACACCTTCCTCTTCAGCAAACACTGCAGGTACTTGCAGGCTGATTTTTTTTCTACATTTATCTAACATCAGGTTTTCATTAATTCATTCAGTTAGCCAAAAATGCAAATAGCTTCATTCTTCGCTCTTTTTTTATGCTTTAACATGTGGGGAAGAAAGTTTTTAGTCAGAAAAAAACACCAAACATTAAAAACAGTCCCATAAAAACAGTAAACCCCCTCAGGAAGCTCTTTTTAGAAACAAAGGCACAATAATGAGCAATTTTCAAGGTAACATTGCTTCAGTTTATATGAGGAACATGCAAGTTAGTCATTGAGAAGGGCTGTTATTTACAATCTGTAAATCAGTCCTGCTGGCAGTACAAGATACTGTGTTACCTTCATAACACGAAAACACCCTCTGCTAATGAGTGAGCATTTAGCAGCAGATTTCTAAGGAAACTGAGAACAGAAGAAATCCACAAAACTTTTCATTTTTCAAGCCTTTAGCTTTATGATTCTCCTCTCTCCAGCACATACCTCCACCTCTCCAGGCTCTCCCCCACCTGCTCCCTACTCTCACTACAAATCACAGTGTCATCTGCAAACATCATCATCCACAGAGGGTCCTGCCTGACCTCATCAGTCAGGCCGTCCATCACCACTGCAAATAAAAAGGAGCTCAGAGCAGCTCCCTGACATAATCCTACCCCCACCTTGAAACGTCAACCTTTAGAGAGCGAGTCTTTCATGCAAAGCTTACCATGTACTGACTTCATATTCTCACACAGATTTTAGTGCTATTGATCTTTTAATAAAAATCCCAACTCATTTCCAATTTGTTGACCTACCTTGATTTTAACAGGATGAACAAGCAAATCTGTGTTTTGGGTTTGTACCCTCAGAGTTGTAGAAATTCATGTTTACGTGTAAATACCTTCATGTGTGAGCCTGACGTTTCGTGCAGTGTCTCTGTGTTTCACAATCAGCGATAACATCTGCAAAGAACATTAAAGCCCGACAAAAACAAACAACAGGAGTCAACAAGATGCCTGTGCTTTCCATCTGTCAGCAGTCACCGGACCAAAAACACATGCTACAGCTCCTGTGATTTACTGCCAGCTCTAACCAATGCTGAAACTGCCAGCTTTGTAAAAATCCTGTGAAAGGGCTTTGTGTTGGTTGGTGATGTGAGATGCCAGATGAACAGTTTGGAGTCACATTTGTCAGCCTCTGTTGAGCAGCGAGGGACAGATGGAGAAAAATGGATCCAAAACAAGCTGAAACATATTCAGTGTTTTGACTGAAATGTGCTGGGATCCACTCATTCTGCCAGCCTAGGTCCACTGTCCAAATCTATTATTCTTATGTTTCATAAAACTTGTTTTGCCACATATTAAATTCTTCAAAAATGATGCAAAAATATTCTGAGAGGCAGAGAAAAGGAACCGTTTCCCACAAGTCTGATAATCTGAGTACAGCTCATGGATGAGGTTTTTATTTCAGTTTACTCTTATTTAAAGTTAAAGTCACTTTATTTGGGTTAAAAAAAACTGGAGATGAGTTTTAATTAAGGCAGATAAACAACAGCCAAAAAGAAACTGCTTCTCAGTTAAAAGATTAGTCATATAATCAAAAAATGCATTAATTCAGAAAATAATCAGTTTAGCCAATAATCAATTTGTTACAATCCTTTCCTTCAGTAACGTGATAATTCTGATCACCATCAGGCCTAATGCAGCTTAAACGTCCTGTAAATGTGTTCTGCAGGTGCTGAAGCAATGCCCATGCCAGGTGAGAGTTCCTTCTGTCCACTGCCTTCAGTGTGAGTTGACATCAGGGAAGAGTGCAGGGAAAGCAGGAAAATGCATCAACATGTTCTTCTCCCAGAGGGAGCAGCACTAACAGGAAACCCAGGCCTGATAATGTGCTGTTGTCTAAGTGTGTCTGTGATCGTCTGTGCTTTGACTTTGTTCAGTAACAGCACAAACGTGTCCGTTCAGACGAGCTGATGGGAAGCTAAGAAATCTGCAAAAATGTGGAAATGGAGCCTCTGACATAAAACTGATTCATTAGACAGTAATAGTAAAAATTATGTAAGTACTTTTACTTTAGTGTTTACTGGTGTAGTGGAGGTTACATCACTACAATCACAGACAATTAGAAATTATATTCCACAGCCTTCATCTGATGATGATATGACTCATTATGGATTTACTGATCAATTTACAAAACTCACTGAAAGCAACAATAATGTTACTTTTTCATAAACTAAACAGGAAGTATGAAATTGAATGTGTTTGTATGTAACAGGATCGATGCAGCTGAGCTTTAGTTTTAGCTGTTTGAGTCTTTTCACTGATGGATGTAGACCGCAGAAAGAAAATAGTTACATGAAAAATATGTAACAAGGGTTGTAATGGGATCATGCTTTTTTGAAAGTGTCTTTTAAATGTGTTGATGGAGTCTTAACCATGAATGCCATTTGGTTCCATCAGATTCAAGACAAAGCAAACATCCTCTCCGCTGAAATCTCCAAACCAGAGAAACCCAAACTTAAATAGTGCAGATGATTTGGAGATGGACTGTCCTTAAACACAGCTGACGGTCGTATTATGACATTTATGAGTTTGACCTTTTACCCTCTTAAATATCAGCTTTAAAAATGACACGTGGATAAATCCAGAGGTTCATTTTTGCTGCCTGAGCTCGAAAAGAACTTTAAAGAAACAGTTTGTGTTTCATCTCTCGTGGTAAAGTCACCTTCACGCCAACATCAACAATATCTCTGCTCTCTGACTGCCGTGTTACAAGTAGCTGAGTAAACTGCACGGTTGATTTACTCTCCAGTATGTGGCATCAAACTGCTCCTCACAAGCATCTAGCTGCCTTTCTAAATGTGATTTTGTATTTAAAGCACATTTTCTTTAAAATTAGGAAGCCCATTCAAATACATTATACTGCCATGCTGCAGTTGCACAATATAATGTGCTGTTCATAAAACTGATATCACAGTGGACAGTTAAGATACTGTAGTGAATAAATTTCCAAGAGTGGTTGGCGAGCAGACCATCTAAGTTTGTTTACTGTGCTAATGGAAGGAAACAGGAGCTCGAAGTAAGACTCACACTGTTAGCAGCCTCGCAGCCACAGCGAGCGGCAGCCGTCACCACCAACCCGTCAATGAAATGTTTAACGAGAAAATATTGGCTCTGAGCTGAAAGATTCTCTTTGTGGATAATTATAGAACATATGCTGCTCTGTGACCCGGGCTGAGGCAGAGCTGTGATACGTGTGTGTGTCTGCAGCGCACACGCTGAGCGGCGGCAGGATCCAGTGGATTGTTGTTTAGTGGGGGAGACAGGAAAAGGGGAGGTGGGGGGCTGGTTGCTGCC